CAAAGTAATCACATTGGACATAGAGATTTTAAGCTCCAATAAATATAGAATTATCTCCTAATCTCATTAAAAATAATTCTAATTTATTAACTATGGAATCACTCCACCACAGATTTATAATTGCACTCTTGAGTTATCTACAATTATGAGAAATATCCAATATGTAAAATTTAAAATTGGTTTGTCTAATTGTCAACCTTATGTTGTGAACTCTCATAGCCATCCAATGACAATAGGTGAATTTATCGTTTTACCTTTTATGTCAATTTTATCCTATAGTCTCAAATTTCATCCAGTCGATGATCCAATACTAAAGATTTAATCTTTTGAGTATTAAGATATGATGAGTAGCTAATTCATTAACCTAAAAATATTTTTAATGCTTTTAATTACTCGATCAGCAATTAATTGATTTGTGAATCTAATTAAGACTCAATAGATAGATTTTAGATTAGACTAACATTTGAATAATGTATGTTCACATCACATAGGTGATCTAATTCGCGATTTGGGTAGACATACGCTAATTGCCTTTCATAGTCAAATTAGGACACTAGCTTAATGAACTTAATTTAATTGATTCTTATAGACATATAGTGACCCAATTAAGTTAGATATTTGTGCAAGCATTTTAATGGATACTTGTACATAGTTTTGGATTTTAGGTTAGTAAAACGACCTAAGAAAGTAAATAATGAGAGAAGTTAGTATCAGATAAAGTGTTAAATGAACCCATAATTCTAAGTTTCAGTTTATTGCCTGTCTCAAGTAATTTTAATTTCTATTAATTAATTTAGTGCTTGATTTAACTTAGTTTTAATTAATTTTTTAAAGATTTTACTTACTTAAATAAGATTAGTTTGTCATAAATTTTAGTACTTAGTAAAGATTAGGAACAAATCTTTGTGGAAACGATATTTTATTTTTTCACTATATTACTTGTTTGCGATAACGTGTACTTAAGTGAGAATTTGACAACATATTAGTAAATGTAGCTTTGTTACAGATAGTAGATCTTTTATCTTTTTTTTCCATTTGTGATCATTCGTGCCATTCAAACTGATTATTCTACTATAATTAGGGTCTATCTTTTAATCAAGTTAAACTTACAAATAAAGAACCTCATTCTAATAATAGTTGTTAAGAAAGGGTATTGATATAGTGAAAGTAACGATAAAAAATAAAGCCTTTCCCACTTGAAAGAACCTATGAGGAGCAAATATTCAACCTACGAAAATATCCTAAACAATTGATATTGTTATGAATGCACAAATAAAACTACAGGAGAACACACAATTTTTAATGTGGAAAACCCCCTCAATGTGAGAGGTAAAAATCACGAGATCTAGTTTAGAAAAATAATCAACTATAAAAGAATAATGATTATAGCAAAGAGTCATCCAACAATTCTAGAACTCATACTAACCCCTATTCACTATTAACAATGGAAAAATTACTAAGCAACAACATACCATCCAAATAAAGGGTATCATAGCTCAACAAATAAAGAAGAGAAAATGCAATCTAATCGTACAAATTGAAGCTCACAATGTTAAGAATAACGTACTAAAATTTCATCGAAAATGGACTACAAATCACCTTCCCATCAATGCCACAAAATAAGCCAAAAAATTTCTCCCTTGGTCTTTTTTTTGTTGATAGTTTTTCTCTCGTTTTAAAACAAATTCTTAATTAAAAAAAAACAGAAAACCCTTTTTCTTTACTTATTTTTTTTGTTGATTTAAGTTGTGAGCTACACTTGAGGAGAACCCACAACATTATTTGTATATTTATATAATTTGGTCATCATTTTATTTGGTTGTTATGCAGTGCAAGAAATACAAAATGGAGATCTCCACAAGAGACAATTACATCTAATTTGCATATCTCAGTGCATACTTTTCAGCTTAATAATAGGTAATACTAACCATTCAACTATTTCAATCTAATTGATTTTTTACTGGGTAAAATAATTTGTTGCCTTGCCCATAATTCCTCAATTATTCCAGCTTTCAACAAATATGGTCTACATATACCAAGTCATTATTTTCTTATTCATAACTTTATTGTTTTAGGTTTTCAATTGGCATCATTTGTTCATTGTGCTTGATGAAAATTTTGATGGTTTTGGGATATCCACTCTTAAACCTCACAGAGAACTGGGTTGTTTTTGGAAATTTTGCAATTTAAATATGTTTTTTTGCAACATTTCCCTTTATGTTAAGTTGATTGTGATTTCTTTTAATTTGTAAATTACATCACTTTTTATTATAAGATGTGAATCTGACGCATCGAGTTAGCGTGGAAATAAAGGCTAGCACTTTGACTAAACCTTTAAGGTTAATAACCAAGTTTCAAATATTGAAACTTTAAACTCAAGTTGAGAGGAGAAATTAAGAATATTATTCGATGATTTAAAAACTAAGTATAAGAGTCTTATTTATACTATTATAGGCCCAAGTCCTAGCAAAACTCTACTTCTGGTTGTCTAATACAACTAGAATAATTAACAAAAGATTTAAATAAAATAAATATTTTATTCCTAATTAGATCATGACTATCCTAAAATCCTAATACAAGTAAATTAAATAAAAAAGAAATTTTATTATACTTATAATTCCTATGTAAGACCCCTAACTAAATAAGGAAAATACTAAAATTACGAATAGGCCATTTATTACTTTTGGGCTTTTCGTTTTGGCTTTTGACGCTCTGCTTGCTCCAAGAAATTATCTAAAAATTATTTGCTAGATGTTTTACATCAGAATCAAATCTCAAATGTCTGTTTGTATTGTATAATACATAACATTTTTGAATAGAATGAAAAAATTTTATAAAGTGATATTTATTAAAAAAATTTTATAGTTATTCTTTTGACATTTTTGAATTTGATAAAAGCAATATATTAAATAGAATGAAAATAATTATTTAATTATAATTTTTATTAATGTTTATATACATCTATTAGTATTAGTATTTAGTTGAATCCCAAGGCCTGCTCCTAGCCATGCTTTTAATTTAGTATTTAGTTTATTGCCTTTCTCAAGTAATTTTAATTTCTGTTAATTAATTTAGTGCTTGCTTTAACTTAGTTTTAATTAATTTTCTAAAGATTTTAGTTACTTAAATAAGATTAATTTTTCATAAATTTTAGTACTTAGTAAAGATTAGGAATAAATCTTCATGGGAACGATACTTTACTTCTTCGCTATATTTCTTGTTTGCGATAACATGCACTTGCATGAGAATTCGACAATATATTGGTAAATGTAGCTTTTTTACAAATAGTAGATCTTTTATCTTTCTTTTCCACTTGTGATAATTTGTGCCATTCAAACTGATCATTCTACTATAATTAAGCTCCATCTTTCAATCAAGCTAAACTTACAAATAAAGAATCTCATTCTAATACTAGTTGTTAAGAAAGGGTATTGATATAGTGGAAGTAACAATAAAAAATAAAGCCTTTCTTGCTTGAAAGAACCTGTGAGGAGCAAATATTCAACCAACAAAAATATCCTAAACAATCGATATAGTTATGAATGTATAAAAAAAAACCACAAGAGAACACACAATTTTTAATGTGGAAAACCACCTCAATGTGAGAGGTAAAAATCACAAGATCTAGTCTAGAAAAATAATCAATTATAAAAGAACAATGAGTATAGCAAAGAGTCCTCCAACAATTCTAGAACTCATAGTAACCCCTACTCACTATTAACAATGGGAAAATTACTAAGCAACAATACATAACACCCAAAAAAAGAGTATCATAGCTCAACACATAGAGAAGAGAAAAATGCAATCTAATCGTACAAATTGAAGCTCACAATGTTAAGATAACATACTAAACTTTCATTGAAAATGGACCACAAATCACCTTCCCATCAATGCCACAAAACAAGCCAAAAAATTTCTTCCTTGGTCTTCTTTTTGTTGACAGTTTTTCTCATGTTTTAAAACAAATTCTTAATTCAAAAAAAAAAAAGAAAAAACTTTTTCTTTACTTATTTTTTATGTTGATTTAAGTTGTGAGCTACACTTGAGGAGAACCCACAACATTATTTTTATATTATATAATTTGGTCATCATTTTATTTGGTTGCTATGCAGTGCTAGAAATACAAAATGGAGATCTCCACAAGAGACAATTACATCTAATTTGCATCTCTCAATGCATACTTTTCAGCTTAATAATAGGTAATACTAACCATTCAACTATTTCAATCTAATTGATTTTTTACTGGGTAAAATAATTTGTTGCCTTGCCCATAAGTCCTCAATTATTCCAGCTTTCAACAAATATGGTCTACATATACCAAGACATTATTATTTTGTTACTCATAACTTTATTGTTTTAGTTTTTCACTTGGCATCAATGTCTGTTTGTATTGTGATATGCATAACATTTTTTAATAGAATGAAAACAATTTTATAAAGTGATATTTATTAAAAAAATTTTATAGTTGTTGTTTTGACATTTTTGAATTTGATAAAAGTAATATATTAAATAGAATGAAAATAACTATTTAATTATAATTTTTATTAATGTTTATGGACATCTATTAGTATTAGTATTTAGTTGAATCCAAGGCCTGCTCCTAGCCATGCTTTTAAAAGATATTCCACCCAAGTACCACTTGTCTTATTGTGCCTTGTCGTTTTCACTTTGACTAAATTTATTTACAGGTGGATTTTATGTTCTTGTTCCCTCTGTCTCCTTTTGTTTCTTTTTCATTAATATTTTAGTAGTTTTATTTTTAATAATAATATTTAGAAAAATTAGAAAAGCTTTAAGTTTTATTTCATGAGTAAAACTTAGTGTCTTAAAAAGTTATAAATTTATCACAAGAAAAAGAAGTCAAGTAATGGTAAACAAATAAATTAGGACACGTGTAAGGGTCAACATAAGCCACATATTTATAATACTAATTTGGTAACTACATATACTATAAGGAAACTTTTAATTATTACTATGTAAAAAGGCATTTCCATATTATTATATAATTAAAAGTTCATCCTTTTAATAACAAAAAGGTGACCCAAGTGACATGATCGCAGCAGGGATTGTTGAAGGGTGTTGTTCACAGACAAAAGCTTGTTGGCTGACAGTCACACTGTTGGTCTCTTTAAGAGTAAAGTATTAGAACTTTTCAAGTTTCAAAGCAGCCTCTACCCTTTTTATTTTTTTAATTTAACAGTGTTGTTGATGCTTCATATGTGCAGCTGTGGCTATCTCTCTGCAATTGCTGGTATCAAAATCACCATGTCTCTGTTTCACCCCCATGCTCTTAGCCTTAGGTGCTCCACATCTTCCATTTCAGGTTCTCTCTATCTCTTCTTTTCCTGTTAGCCTATCCTTGGATGCTTTCTGCCACTGGGTAATTTGATGTATGCTTGTTTATCTATCTGCTTTGTATATTTGGTATATGGTATAACTTAGACTGATCAAGTTTTGGCATAGAGCAAATGTTTGGTATGTTGTCTCTATGATTTAGACTAGAGTTGAACAAATGAAAATTTCTAATACAAAGGGTTCTAAATTGTGTTTCATGATCAAAAAGTAATAACCCTTTCTTCGTACAAAGCAGAAAATTGTTTAAATCAGGAATCAGGATTAATTTGATGAATGATAAAGGAGGAGTAGATGTCTAACCAAGGACTAATTCTGGTGGCATTTTGCAGTTTCACATTGCACTCAGTTTATCTCAGAAAGTCTTGTGTATATATAAGCTATTCATAATATGTTAAACATTGCTCCAATTGTCACATTTAGATTTAAGAACCAAGCTTCCTCTTGTTACTCTTATTTGTGACCTGTTTCAAGGACGCCATTTAGTCTTTGATTAAGTTTGATTAAAAGGAGTTGGTGGGATTTTGGAATTATGTGTTTCTCATGAAAATTCCAAAATGACTTCATTTTGCAAGGTTGCTTGCCATGTTTGCCTGATTCACCTGAAATATGAAATCCAAATTTCTCTCTTTGACTGCAAAGTCAATTGCCATTTTTTGCATTAAGATACATTGTTTCTGGTCTCAACTTCTACCATTGTATATTTTCATCCCTTAATTTTTTTTTTTTAAGTTATATTCTTATCTTACTCATGTTGATTATTCTGGATTACCTTGTTTACCTCTCTGTGTACTTTTTTGCCCCCACCTGAGCAGTTTCCATGGACTGTGGAGCAAAGTTAACAACAAACACCCACACTAATGGTTTGGTATAAGAATCTTGCCTCTTATCAATCACTTAGACTTTTGCTATTCTCTATTTCCTAATCCCTACGTATTGTAAATGTATAATAGAGTTGACATTGTTGTTGAGAAAAATGATTCTCTTACCTATGCAGAACTTTGAGGGTACTAAAGAAAGGATTAAGAAGATGTTTGATCACATTGAGCTTTCTATTTCTTCTTATGACACTGCTTGGGTTGCAATGGTCCCATCTCCAAATTCCCCTGGAAACCCCTGTTTTCCTGGGTGCTTACAATGGTTATTGGAGAATCAACTTTCTGATGGTTCTTGGGGTCCTCCTCATCGTGATCCCTTGTTAACTAAAGACAGCCTTTCCTCCACACTTGCATGTGTCCTTGCACTGAGACGATGGGGTGTTGGCGTAGAACAAATGACCAAGGGTATTTTCATCAGTTCTTTTTTTTTTTTTTTCCATCAGTTCTATCTGTCATTTTTCTCCAACAGCGTGCATGGGATTAAATGTTTTTTTCTTCTACAGGCCTCCAGTTTATTGAGTCACATTTTGGTTCAATTTCTGATGAGAACCAACATACACCTGTTGGATTTGATATCGTATTTTCTGGTATGATCGAATATGCTAAGGATTTGAATTTGAACCTCCTTTTGAGATCAACAGATGTAGATGCTGTGTTTCATAAAAGAGATTTAGAGCTCAGAAGGTATAATTTTGTTTTTATTACCTTTCACAAAGGCTTCATTTATGACATTTGTGGTTGTGATAGATAAATTTGATAACAATTGTACTCTGTGTTATCAGCAGCTAGCATATAATTGGCAGAGCATTAGCCAAGCTAACCAGAGTGTTAGGCTTTTCAAGTTTACCCAACCTTTATCTTTGTCAAACCTGTTTTGGTTGGCTTATTATTGCTTAATTAGTCTTAATGCTTTCTAGAAATTAGGAGTATTGCAATCCTAAAATTGGCATACACTAATTCATTTTGAAAGCAATGTGAAAAGAAACTAAAAATGTTTTGTTAGACATGGCTTCCAAGCTTCCTATCCTAAGAAACTCTCTTCCAATTTTCTTGATTTAGTTGCCACAAAGAAAGCTCAAAGGGCATGAAAGCGTACTTAGCATATGTTTCAGAAGGAATTGGCAAACATCAAGACTGGGGAATGGTCATGAAGCATCAGCTAAAGAATGGATCATTGTTCAATTCACCATCCACAACAGCAGCTGCTCTTGCTCATACTCAGAATGCTGGTTGTCTTTATTATCTCAATGCACTCTTAGAGAAGTTTGGGAATGCAGGTTACTAAGCTGATGTTACTTCACAACTTTCAATGTATTTTATTTCATTATGTAATCCTAAATTTACTAACTTATCAGTACTCATCTCAGTTCCCACACTTTATCCTTTCCATCTGTATCCTCGTCTTTCTATGGTGGAGACTATTGAAAGTCTGGGAATTGGTGAGCATTTCAGGAAAGAAATTGCAAGTGTATTGGATGAAACATACCGGTAATGTTCTATTACAAACATAAATGCTGTATATAATGCATTTGGAATGTTGACATATTTTTATGCTCAATCTCTACATAAGAATGTCTCAAAAACTTCTCTTTAAGTTCATTGATCATGTGTCAATAAAATATAACATTAGCCAACAAACAGATGCTGGCTGCAGGGAGAGGAGGAGATATTCTTGGATCCAGCCACTTGTGCACTGGCATTTCGGATACTACGAGTCAATGGTTATGATATTAACTCAGGTATGTTGATTCTTTTGGTAATTGGATGATTAGAAAATAGGATTTTATTGTTAAGTGATTTTCTGGGTAACCTTGTGATGTAGAACCATTAACTGGATTTGCTGAAGAACATTTCTTTAATTCGCTTGGAGGATATTTAAAGGATTTGGGTGCTGCCGTAGAGTTATTGAGGGCTTCACAGATGATGATACATCCAGATGAACAAGTTCTGGAGCAACAAAACTCATGGACAAGTCATTTCTTGAAACAGGAATTATCCAACAGTTCTATGTCTGCAGATAAACTTAGAAAATATACCATACAAAAGGTTGTTTTTTTTCTTTTTTTTCTGAAAATTGATACTTTTGAAGGAAACTGCCAAGCCATTTGTTTTTCATTTTGAATTCAATGTACTTT